AATTTTATTAAGATTTTTATATAATTTAATTTTTTGTAAATGAATATCCTGTCTAAATGAATACAATATTGGTCCACCGACCATATTCATTTAGATAGGTTTGACTGTAGTAAAGTTTTGAGTTATTGGCATTTATTTTTCATGTAACGTGTTCAAAACTGAGGAGTGGAGTGCGGCTGTAATTAAAATACATAATAAATATTAAACTTTTGATTTGATCCACGTAAATCAAATAGCGGTGATTCAAAATTATATGCCAAGAGCTTTATACAGTGAACCAAATAGATTCGCTGTAATTTTGCAACTGTAGTTATACGTATGAGAGATAATTGAAAGTTTTTATATATACTTTATATAATGCTTTTATATTAATAAATTTACATTATATTTATAAAAAATACGGAAATTATGATTTGCACACTAAATTTTAAACCCTTTCTTATTAATGACAATTTCATGTCGGTGTGCTCTAATAATAACATAAAACCCGTAGATCGACCTAGTTTAATTTCAAAGGTCTAAAACATTACATTATCTAATGTCATTTTAGTAAATAATCATTCTCTATTTATTAACATATATAACCCTAGAAAACCAATCAGGGCGTATTTCAATTGAGGATAATCATTCATAATAATGGTTATCATTCCAACATATGGTAAGAATCTTTAGAAGATAAAAAAAAAAAAAAAAATTGAGAAATCAATTGTGATAAAGCAGATATGAGACTGTCACAATATGAAACAACAAAAAAAAAAAAATACCCATTAACTTTCCCAATAATATCTTCTTTATGAATCCATTGCTGTCCTGGGTTATACAGTCCTCGATCATCTACTTGGTTATTATCACCTTTAGTGAGAATGTACTGTTTCCCTGTTTTTCTCCTATTATTTTTGATAATCAATTGTTAATATTTATAAAATACGGGGTTATAAAACCATAAACTTACTCATCGTGTAGTTTTATTACTCGATGAACAATTGGCACGTCTCTACCGGAGATCTTGAACACACATATATCACCAACTCGTACAGGTTCATCAGGCATTCCTAAGAATAAAAGATCACCACGAAAAAAAGCTGGTTCCATACTTCCACTGATATAAAAAATATGAATGAATATTGATTGATGTGGATACGAAACAAATATAGAGACAAATATACAAAGATGAATTGAAGAGTTACCTCAAAACTACTACTATAGGACTTTCACTATTTGTATAGAGCGCCAAACCTTTCCATACCATTAATGCGGAAGAAACAATCATTAAAAAATTTAAAACTTGTTGCGCAAGCTAGTCGCAATTTAAAAAGTAAGAGATAAATTAAAACATTCAAATAAAATAAATATATGTGTGTACAAGTTGATTTACCTGACGCTTGCTCATTTTACGCAAAAACCGTAATTCTTCTTCAAACATTTTTACTGAAGGAAAATCACAAACCTATATCACAGTAGATTCATTTTATTTCTACTGAAAGTATGGTTACACGATATATATGTATATCTTTTATAACAAGCCACTAAAATTTTGCCAGATATAAGCATTTGGGATTATGTTCCGCCAATTTTTTACTAGATTATTAAAAGTTATTACTTTTAACTAATAAAAATAATTTCTTTTGAGCAGTCCTTAAAATTTATACTTAACCTATAACCTTAAATAAACTCGATTTAAAGGATCTATCACGTGCTAAATAAAATGAGAAGCAGGATAAGAGTTTATACTCCGGGTACTAACTTCACGTGAGCAAGTTTGCAAGTAATCTTTTGGCCAATCAGAATCATCTTAATTATAGTTGGTTACACTGATCTAATACGCGTCTTAAATATAAAACATGCGTCATAGCAAAATCAAACAAACTTCTGATACGCTTAATAATGATGGAATCAAATGAAAGGACGACGTTCCAAAAACAGAAAGAAAATTTAATCAATGATATTGCTCTGGTATAAGATATATGGTTAATGTATCTTTAATTTCAACCGTATACTCACTTTTGTTATTATAGGGACTTGAACAAGTCATCAATAATATAAACGTTCTCAACAAGAATCTTGAAGGTGTAATAGCGATCGGAAAAGATTTTGAAAATGTTGCATCTCTCTGGAAAAATTTCAATAGTGCTATTGTAAAAAGTGCTTCTGATGAAGATTTGAAAGATGAAGGTCGACTAGGGATGGGATCGGTTTAAGCAAGCTCAAATAAGTTTGTTCAAGTAAGTTAGCTTAAGCTGGCACATTATTTACAACTGTTTTCGAATGATTTTTCGGCTAATAAAAGATATTTTTGTATTATTAATGATTTTTTGACAGATCGTTATAACAATAATATTAATGTTATCAATAATATATATATTTTTTTCGTTTGAATGCTTGTCTGACATGTTTGATGTGTGCATGTACGTTCTTATCAACTAATAAATCTTGACAATAAATATAAAAGCGTCTCCAAATATAAAATAAATTTTTATAATAACATATTACATGAATAAGTGTTAATGTTAAACGTATTTTATATCGTTCGTATTTAATAAACATATCAGATATAGGGAATATACCAAATTAATATATATTTTATTGAATTAACTTTAGGGTTAGGGTCATCTTATCTTAAAGTTAGGTTAGGTTTTAGGTAGTTATATATAAGCAAAATTAACTTCTCGACATTTTTGATTAACGCACCCGAGGTAGATTTAGACTGCCGTTTTTTGTACTTTTTTTTTTTTTTTTTTTTCTTTTTTGCTTCGCCGGCGATTATCAAAATTCTATAATTTGATTGCCATTTATCACGTGATTATGCTCCGCTTTAGACGATCCCCATTTATAATCGAAAAATGTAGCCTGTTTCGAAATTTATTCGAATCTTACAAAAACTCAATTTTGATTTCTGGGGGAGTTTGGGCCCTTTCTGCTGCAACGGCCCATATGTATATGTATATCAGGGATGGTAAATGACCTGATCATTTTATCAAAATTTAAATGACCCCAAGTCATCAAATAATGACAGGTCATTAAGTAATGACAAGGTCATTAAGGTCATTTGGGTCATTTGACTCATAAAAAGTTATCAATAGTCGTAGCTATATATTAAAGTTAAACTTTACAAAGTCAATTAATATTTATAAAGTCGTTCGGGATAATAAATTGCGTGTATTTTTAAAATTTCATACCTTTTTATTAATTTACTTTCGCATATTACGTTTATACGAATTTTAAAACATATGCAATTTATTATCCCGAACAACTTTACTTAAGGCATAATATTAATTGATTTAATAAAATTTTGATTTTGATATAGCTACGATTATTGATTATACTGTAGTTTTATAAAATTTAATTGTACCTGGCGACCAATTCTGATTGGTTAAAAGGTATTATAATATTAACTAACATATATTAAATGGCTTTGAATGCAAATGACTAGTCATTTGTCATCTGGCATTTGGGTTAATAAATATAAATAAACTGTAGTTTACTCTAAAACTACAGTTTTAGATTAAACTACAGTTTATTTATATTAACTAATAGTTTACGGATCACATCTCATGGGCAGACATTCGTATGATTGGTTAATTTTGGTAGATCTACCCGTGATTGCCCGTGATAATTAACCAATCACAATACATAATTTTATTAATACTACAATACTAGAAAACGAAACAAAACTTCGAATAAAGAAGCTTACAAACCAATAAATACACACAAAAGAATAGATTACTTATATTTAGAGAATAGATAGATACGCGTAAAGTAGGTAAATGTGATATTTATTACTAATAAACCCAAACTCATTAAAGAATCTACGTACAGTACAAGATCTACGTACAATATATAAACTACAACTATTAATATACAGTTGACAAGCCCAAACACACTACAAGAACCGACCAAATTTAAATATTAAGCCCAGATCTTCTACTACTAAAAGCTTGTACCTATTAAATTAAACAGTTAAAAGTAAAAGTTTATCTAAATCTAACGTAATAAAATAGTTTTAGACGAAAACGTTGCCATTTACCTTCACTCTACAATATGGTCCAATAAACGGTTGGCATACTTAGTCTTCTAAGCAAAGTTAGTCAAAATACAGATTATTTCGAGATTATTTTTTTCAGTAAATATTAACGTTCGTAAAATAGCCTTTGTGACAATTTTTTATTGGTGAAACACTAAAATCTCAAAAAGTACTCTAAAGTGTATAAATAAGTTACCCGGGCAATTGATTTACATCATCCAATCAGACGAAAGTCTGACTATGAGATCACATCTCTAATTCTTATATATAGCAAAATATATATCAAGATTATTGTTTTCATTTAATTTTTTGTAAAAGACAATTGTATGTATTGGGTTTGGGGTTTTACCGACAAGTATAGTTGTATTATATTCCTTATTGGTTAAAAGTTTTTTTTTTTTTTATTAAAGATCAAGATCAACCACTACTATATATTTTAAACCAAAATTTAGCATCTACATATGAATCCAATTTAGATTCAATTTTCTAAATCCAAGATCAGTTATACCGGGTGCTGAATATTTTTAGAAGCTCGAGGATTTCGTTCCTCTCATATACAGCCAATAAAAAAGAAAAGATCACTCGCAGTGATACAAATCGAAAAGTTGGTCAAAAACTAATCGATCTAAAATTTTCTTTAACTAATACACGGCCACATGGCTAAATAATCAAATAAATTAAATGTGATAATTAATCGCCAATTTGGATCAATCATTTGCGCTTCTTTTTATTTCGTTTTTTAATTCTATCACTATTCTGAACTCTTTTAATATCGTTAGAGCTTAAGGATAGCATACCACCTTTAACTTTACCAATTCCCATTTTAATCCCTTTATCTCTTTTATTTTTTTTAGAAATTGAAGATTTGGAACCAGCCCAATTATGTTTTATCGAGTGATGATATAGACCCAGGTCCTTTGCCTTTTGATATGTGTAAAAAAATTTTAATGCATTGAGAAAACTTAAAAAAGAATAAAAAAAAACTTTGATATATTAAATAACCTCCTGAAGTTTTTTTTCTTCACGTTCACGACGTTTAGTTTGCATTCCTAACGAAATGGGTGTTGGAATTTTAACACCTTTCTGGGGCTTTTATAAAAAAAAAAAAATTTCTATCAAGCATGAACAAAAATTTTCAATAGTTCCTCATCAAATAAATACCCTGGCACCTAGCTCATATATTCTCTTTTCATTGTATTTTCTACGTTCTTTTCCAGTTAGTTGTTCAGAAAGAAAGTGTTCGATTTTAGACAAATCTTCAATTTTAGATAATTCTTCAATTTTAGATAAAGTTCCACTTTTAGATAAATTTTTAATTTTAGATAAATTTTGGGCAAAAGAATTATTCATGGTATAGACAGTTATCGTTATCAAAAAAAAAAAAAATTATTTAGAAAAAAATTATTTAGCGTTAACCTAAAAAATGATAGCTGATCATCATTTATCGTTATCAACATCCAATAAAAACTCAAACTAAATTCGAATTTTACTAAATTCTGAAAATGTCCGTGCAAACACAAAATGATCAATTTTATCAAGCGGTAACTTATGTATTCAAATCTTGGACCGCTTTAAAATTAGCGGTGGAGATGCAATGGGGTGGTGTCGACTCTGAGGACAAACGCGATTGGTTTGTAGACGTTGTTGTGGAATACTTTGGGAAACGTACGTACGTTCAGTAAAAAAAAAAAAAAAAAAAAAATTGATCAATAATACGCAGAAAGTACGAAAAGACTGGATCAAAAAATAATCTTCAAATCATATATATATGTTTTTTATTTAAATCATAACGAATAATTGAAGATGGCAAAGGAACACACGCAGAAGACATAGAATCAATTTTGCAACAAGTAATGGCGGATGAATTTAATACTTTGCTGGAAGATGATTCTGCCTATCAGGTAAGCTAAACTATTATAGCCTAACATAGCTAATGTCAAGTTAATATTTCATCACTATTAATTAATGCAACTTACAATAAGGTATCAAAAGATCTAATAAAGCTATACGCTGAATGTATAGAAGGAAACTACACTTCCATTGATCTCTTGAGATCACGGCACATTGCCTCTGTTGATAGTATCGCTTCTTCAAAAAAAGCTAAATCACAGCTTCAAATTAATGACGACGTCGATGATGACGATGATGGTGAAAATGAAGATGTAGAAATGACTGATGCAATGAATACTTCCGAAGATGTTTCATCTACTGATCGAAATAAAATAAATTCGTCAAAGAAAGAACCAATCATTGATGATGAAGGATTTCAACTTGTAACTAGACGGCGAAAATAAAAAAAAGCATCTTTGTTTTGATCGAGATGACTTAAATATTCACATATATATTTATTTTTAATATACTCCTCGTGATATCCTTTACTTCCAAACTTTCTAATTACCATTTATTACCGATGTTTTGATTTTTGCTATTTATTACTCCTTGCTTGGTACTTAATGTGTAATTTTGAACGAGAGAGAAAGCAATTAACGAAATAAAGAAACGAAATAAAAAGATTGCGTATTAAAAGTTAAATCTTAGTGGCTAGGCATCCATTCTAATGACAAGCTAACTATTAAGACAGAATTATCTCAATTCAGTTACAAGACCTATTTACAAAAACAATTTAAACAAGAATCAATGAAAGAAATAATTTGCTCATAATGTTACAACCAAAAATTTTCTACTATAATATTATTTTATTAGAAAATAGAAATTGTTGAAAAATACTTACCTCGATACTTTCTGTTGTAATTTTTTTTGATGTAATTTCTACAATCTAATGTAGATGTCAGATGAAATCTAGTAGTTTTCCCATTTTATTTACTTAACTTCTAAGAAAAGTTGTAAGGACAGCCTTTTACGGTCATAATAATGGTAAAATCCCTGAAATTGACCTGATGGGTTGCGAATAGAATCAACTTATATTCCATGGTCATATAAAATTTCTTTGCAAATTTGCAAAAAAAAAAATTTATATGATCACGAAATATAAATTGATCATATCTCATGATTCATTGGGAAGATTGTCACTGATGTTATATTTATAAGGGTGAACTTTAATATAGTTGGGGCATTATTAACGTTAATAATTAAACCTTTTCTATGTGTATGTGATCACATAGAGCCCGCCCCAATTTGTCCTGGCCAGATTATAACTTAATCAGAAAAATTTTTATTTAAACAATTAGTAATAAAAATTTAAATTTGTCAAATAATTTACAGATTAAGGAATATTTTGCAATTAAACTTTTGTATAAAAGATTTTTGCAAGGTTTAAATTTAATATATATTTTGGTGCTAATAAATTGTACATGTTTTAAAATGATTTTAATTGTGATTATATCACATGATTAAGTATATCACAATATATGCATCATTATGCCCATGGATTGTTTTGACCTTCACCAATCTCTTCATAGCCACTAGGCGTTCCTCCAGTATCAAAGGATGCCTCTTCAAAAGCATAATTCAAATCTCCTTGTTCAGATATCGTTGGTGGTAACTCATCATCACTACTATCACTTATTCGACTCGCTAAAGTTACATTATTGTAACGGTGTCTCCAAATATCATTAAGATCGCTATTGAAACTTTGACGGATGTTAGGTTTATCATCTTCTACATCATCATAACCCTCAACTCCAACAAGATCCTCGTCGGTGGCAACCATCGGATTTTTCGAATCCACATCTTCTACTTCATCATTTTTAGATTGGGTGACCGGAGGCAATACCACAACTGGATCGGGAGCATCATCGAAAAAGTCATCTTCCAAATCTCCAGCATTGAATTCATCGATTATTGTTATATCAGGCGTAGCTGCTTTTGGTCGTTTTTGTAGAAGAGTGTTTGATAAAGGTTGTTCCACTTGTAATGCCGGTGGTATTGAATTTAATAGTTCAACTGTTCGGATGAGAAACAATAATCAATTTATATTTAAAAAAGTACGCACGGAATGTTCAATATATATTCACCTGATTCTTTTTGCTGAGTTAATTCTTCAGATTCTTTATCCCATAATTTTTTTATTTGTATTTTTTCTTCTTCCAAACGGTCTTTCCCTAATTCTGATTCTATGTCTAATATGAGTATATGTATAGATAAGAAAATCTAATAAATTCAAATACAAAACAATAATAACAATAATAAATAAAATAATTACTTTCTATTTCAGTAATATCTGTCAGATTACTGTGCTTCTTTTCAGCTGAAGGGGCACTATCGTCGATGTCCAGTGTATCAAGAAGTTTTGCTAATTCTTTTGTCTTTGCAGTCAATTGTTGGCGAAGAATATCTCTCTTGGATTAAGAAAGTATTATTTTTGACATATTAGATCATAATGATAGTTAAATGATAAACATGTATTCTTACATCCTAATAATCATAAAAATTACCTGTAATTGTAAGAAAGGAACCCCAAAATACTTGTAAATGTATTCTAGACCAAGTCCATTTAACATGCTAGTCTCCACATACCGAACCATATTGGATGAAGGATATTCTGATATTCGTTCACGATTGACCTCCGATATCGCCTGATAGATTTGTGATTGAGTAATTACACGTCGCGAGCTTTCCGCATAAATAATACAAGACTTATTATCGTTCTTGAATCACCACAATATACGCACGTGAAACCAGTAATTGTACATAACTACCTGAGATCGCTAAAGTTGCCCTATTAGGCAAGAACAACAGTTCATCAGATAATGAAGTGGTGAAAAATAAGCGATAATATATATTCACCAGTAATAATACAGCAATGTTTTTAGGAATAGCTTTTAATTCTTTAATAGCGTAATCGAATGTCCAATTTTTGGTCATATCAAATAATAATATCACGCCATGTGTATTGCGATATACATCTATAGTTGCAGCATCAAGTGTAAGTTGATCCGGTGGCAGAGGCGAGGAACGGGATGGCGGTGGTTTAGTTGGAGCTACCAAGAAAATTAAACTGTTAAAATATGATAGAAAATTTTACGTGTTCAAAGATAGAATAGAAATTTTTCTACTTTGTGAATTATCAATTTTCAATGCAACATTTGACGTCGTAGGTCTCTTATTAGTATTTGTTGGGTTGATACCTTTATCAACCACATCCCATATTTCCACTTTAATAACATCATTTGTTTGATTATAGTTCCATTGTATATTAGCAACTTCAATTTGAGGTGTAGTAATATATTCTTCACGAAAAGATTCTCCTTGTAGTCGATTAACTTTGAATAATAAAAGCAGATCATACAAATTAGAAGAAAAAAGCAAATTAGGCACTTGTGTAAAATTATGAAATTCTTATGGTAATAACTCACATAAAGTAGATTTTCCCGTCCGAATATCACCACGAATTATAATTTTCACTGAAAAAACAGATCTTAACGTGAATCCCTTTGGACGAAAATTTTAGAAAGAACATGAGTGAATTTACCAAAATCATTTTGTATACTAATTTCGACGTACTATTATATTGAACACCCTTTCTAAAAATTTCTCGCATAGGCTTTAAGTGGGCATTTTGAACAACTTCTTTTGCTTGCTCGTTTCCCTAACGACAATGAGTTAGTGAAGACATTTTTAATCAAGCATCTTTTTGACAGAAAACATATAGACATCAACCCACCATTGTGTAAAAGTCGCGAAGAAAGACTGGACTACTGTATCAGAATTAGAGTTAACACCTCAATTTTAATGGCTTGGATTTAGACCTTTGTACTACATTTATTAAAAACTTTAAAAAATTAAAAAAAAAAAATTTGTATCACCTTTAAGATTAAAAAAAAAAAAAAATTTTTATATACAAAATGTTCTAGTTTAACTAAAATTTGTTTTATAATAAAATTATTGAAAAAAATTTTATAAAAATTTTTATTTTAAAAAATTTTAGTATACTACTAGTAGTTTACTATTCAAAATAATTTTAAGAAATATAAAAATAAAAATTTTTCTTTATACCAGGGGATATTAATATCCACTTTTTATTTTATAATATATATTATAGAATGAATTGTCTTATTAGTTTATTATTAGTATTTTATTAGTTTATTATTTTTTATTTTTTTTTAATTTGGTAATTCTGCTTTTATTATTTTATTAAAAGTATTAGAAAATTATTATAACAGGCAAATAAAACTTTTTATATCTTAGTTTTATACTAATAAAGATTTACTTAATTTTATAGCTCAGGTGTGATCTGCTTAGCATCAATTTACTTTATATTGGATTCTCAACTTTTTGAGAATTTGGACTTTTTAATTATAAGCCAAAGTAGCTATATACTTCATTTAAAAGCCAAATAAATAAAAATACAAAAAGAAAAAAATACAGTATAGAGGCATAAGAGAGCATAATAAAATATACAAGCAAAAAAAAAAAGAAAAAGATAATATCAAAAGCAAAAAAAGAAAATAAATTTGTCTATTTTAATTAGGGATATTAAAAGTTTGGTTCGGTCCTGTTCGGTCCTGTTTCATAAAAGTTTGAGTTCAGAAACAGTTCGAAAAAAAGTTTAAAAAATATCATGTGAAAGTCACACACAAGT